GGAATTTTATTTCCAAACTTCTAAAAGATTAATACAAACAATAGAAAGTAGACAAAATTAAAAAAAAGACTATTTAAAAAGTTAATTGTTCCTGTAAAAGTGTTCTATAAAAAACTGAAGGCAAATGACCAAGTACATTTTAGTAAGTTTTGTGTATCGCAAACCTTGCCATTACGCATGCAACTACCTTTGGGTGTTCATGGGTTTTTCGTGTCTGTTTGGTCACATTTTAAACACGTCAAGGAAACTCCACCATGGCAGTACCTTTACAAATACAAATTAGGAGAAGTATTACAGATGAGAAGTCTGGTAAGAAACGTGCCTTAGAATAAAGCCTGTACGATGCATTGTGTGCAGTAGTTTCTAGTATGTATCGTTTATGGACTTAGATGCACTTAAAAAAAGCTGTAGTTGGTTCCAGCTCTTGGTAATAGAAGCAAAGTTCCCCGATAACATTATTTCAGTACTAATGGCATTTAGTTTTATACTTTAATGATTCACTTTTTGGATGCTTTATTTTGGAAAAAAAAACACATAGTTTTTACTAATTCCAGTGTAACAGTTTACCCAAGATAGGAGTAAGTAATTTGTTAAAAATTCATGTGTTTTTCTTTTCTAAAATGTAAACTTCTCAAGTAATATTTGTCTAGTTAGCATAGTGTAGTAACACTGGTGACGATTATGAAAAGAATGAGTTACATTAAAAAAACTTTAAGAACATTAGCAAAAGATTGTGAAGTACAGATACACAAGAACAAAGAGATAAATATCTAGGACATGGTTCCAGCCACACAGAAGTTAGGACACGGGAGAAAGACTCTTCTTGTGAAGGACAGGCAGTTGTTATTCATGTCAAGCTTGAAGGCAACTCTGATGACCTCTCCTGTAAGAGTAAAAAAAGGTTTACTAAATGCTGTCTTCCTAAGCTGATATATGTCTTTTACAAATTGTAACACGAAAGCTCCTTTGCACTGAGAAAAACTGAATGATTTTTCCTTGTTGGATGTTGGCATCCTTGAATATTATAAAAATTTTAAATTTTTTTTTTTTTACTTTGCTCTCATTTTTTATTATTCTAAGATTACTAAATAATAAACAACTAAATAATTGATCTACCAGAAAAAGATGACTAAATGAGATCTTGGGCTGAGCTATGCATTTCTAAAAGTATAATGAATTAACCATCAAACTAGTTTGAGAAAATATTTTGTATCCTGTCTGGACAATGCAATCAAACTTGCACCCTAGAAATACCCACACAGAGACACAAAAAAAGTGAAAGGCTGCTTCAGTAACAGAACACATGCAACAGTCACTATCCATTTTATCTTATGTGCAGGAAGAATTAAAGGTAGCATGTAAATTAAGAAAATCTTCTGCTTGTGCTCCCTCCCCCACCCCAGGTTTTTCCAGCAGAGCCTCTCACGTTCCATTGTTCTCTCTCTCCAGGTTCAATCCTGTTTTGTCAAACCTACGTAGCGACAATCAAAACCGCAACTATTGACGAGGCACAAGCGCGACTGCAAGCTCAGGAACCCTGGCAGCAGGAAGGGGAAGTTTTTACTTTATGTCCTAGTTGAAATTCTACCCTTAAAGAAAACACTGGTTTTCACTTCGATAGCACTCTCAAAGAAAGAAGTCGGTGGTTCTTCCTCTCTATTTTTTTCAGCTCTTTAGAGGGAACTATTTTTGTTTTTTCTTTTGTAGAAGAGTAACCCCTTGTGAATAGCCAACTTCCACATTTGTTTGTCCTGCAGAAGAAATAAGATTTTGCAACAAAAGTTATGATGTGATCCTGCACACATGGCCTTTCTTCCTCCTGCTTGCAGTCACTGCTGTGTGACAGATGGGAGAGGCATGAGTGGGAATCACAGAACTGGATCCCAAAGATTTGCAAATGCTGGATGGTCACCCACCCACCCACCCACCCACAGGCAGACAGAGTTCAGGGGGTATCTCATCCTTCAGAAATCCTGTGCTCCATAACAAGGTCACGAAGGATGTGATGACAGATTGCCTCAGCTCCTCTCTGCTTCCACTGCCTTTGGTGCTGTACCAAGAGCAACAGAAGGAGCCTAAGGACAGGCACAGCCAAATGAACTGCAGTATGACGCTGAAAACAAAACGTATTTTAACAACATTCTTGCTTAAAGCTGTAAGCAAGTCATCAGAACACACACAACTGCCACAGCTCTGTCTGACTTCTTCAAGCTGGGTATGTGACTGTTTTTTATGTCTGGTTGGGTCATATACAGCCTTGTGTCACAAACAGTTTTTATTATTTTGCATGGTGCTAATGACCCTAGAGCTGCTCAAACGCAAAAACCAACCAACCAAACCATCCAACTCATAAACAAAGCACCCCTAGAAAGAGCTGTAGGAAAGAGACATGCTTCAACTGCTACACCTAAAAGGAACAGCAACAATTTTTAGAGCCAGCAGGGAGTTCTCTACCAAGAACTCGACATTCAAACAACTATCACCACGTGCAGTTGTTCCTCCTAGGGCTTGGGTTTCAGATCAGAGTTGTTGTTGTGGTATCCATGACTTTATTACCTGAATCAGAGTAGAGCACAGGATCGGGGTTCTCGAAAGGGATTGCTCCCTGCAGGAACCCCAACAAGCAAGGCATCTTTGCAGGCATTTTGCATACAGTACTGCTGGAGTTCTGCAGCTGCCTGAGAGACCTGTGTAAAGGAAAAAGAAAAACAAATCCAGAGAGGGAACTAATTCATTCACAAGCATCCATTAGGCATTTCCTCTTGAAGAGCCATTATCAAACAGAGCTGGAAAGCAGCCAAGTCAGCTCTTGGATTCTAAAACACTCAGTAAATCAGCACAGACGCACATTTACAAAGCTCCAGTGAAACACAAATGAAATCCTATGCCACTGATGCACCAGAGGAGTGCAGAGGACTGAGGTGCGAGCATGATGGAATTTGTCCTTATTAAAATGCACAGAGCAGTGATCACAATATTTCCCAACCTACTGTACTGTTTTCACGTTTATATTTGAACCCTTATATCCTGAACTCAGATAAGGATTTTCATTTCCAAACTGTTAAGCAACACAGAGCATAACAAGGAAGGAAAGCAAAAAGATAAGGATGAAAAGCTTTTTAAGTCCAAATCGCCACCTTCTCCTGACAGTGAAGTGAGAGCATCAAACTCACACTCTGGCCTCTAGAGAGGGCAGTCCAGAGCTCCAGAACAAGCCCAGGAACCCAAAGGTAAAATGCCTCCAACACTGAACCTCCCTGCTCTCCCTGTGAGTGGCAAGTCAGCCTTGTGCCGGACTTGGAAGGCAAACATAAGGGGGAGTCCCGATTTGTTAGACACACATTGGTTACAGCTGCAGGGAACTGTCAAAATCCATGCTGACTGACACATTTTTTATAAACAGGAAGACTGAGAATGTTGGTGGGAATACAAGTTCCCATCTGACCTCACCTCTGCCTTCATTACAGGACTCCTGAAATACCGATTCTTCTTCCTGTACAACTTTGCAATGTTGCCAACGGGAGAACGAGACAAGAAGAAGGAACTATTGACATTTCCCAGCTTCCTGATCGACGGGGCCACCCAGGAGCCCTGACAGGATTTTGGTTCTGGGCCACCCCATCCAACAGCATCTGAAAGTGCTGGGAAACCTGGCCCAGCGTGTGCTTTTGTTTGCTGTTTCGCTGCTGTCCTGTTCACCGCTTCCCTTCTCTCCTCCAGGACACTTGTCCTGGTAACCGCCCAATTTAGCCAGCAGCACTTGGCATTTCAGGGAGTTGTTAAGAGAAGCATTTTCCCACAGCCTCCTCGGTTCTCTTGAGCAGAGTATGAGGAGAAGTGTCCACAGTAAGGATCCCTGCTAGTCAGTGGGCTTCGCCACTCCTCCTTTCCTTGAGGAGAACCTCTTTCTGGAGGCTGCAAAGGTCTCCCGCCCCTTGGACCTCCTGCAGCATTAGCACCCTTGCCTCAACCACGGTGCCAACCCCTTGCTGGAACCCAACTGTGCACCACACGGCTATCAGGCAGAGGTGCCACTTGCCAACACAGGTCAGGCCAAGGCTGGGGGGAGCTGCTTCCTGGGAAGAGGAGCAGAGGGTGTCTCAGGGCACGGCTTGCCCTACAAGCACGGAACAGTTAGCAGTTCCTCACTGCACCTCCTCTCACGCTGCTGCTGAACTCTGCAACATGGACTGAGCTACGTATATCCTGGTGCTCCTGGAAAGACACAAACCTAATTTTTGGCACAATTATCCATATGGCAGCAGATAGTTGTTCTAGGACAGATCTGCCTACTCTAGACCTACCTATATCCTTGTAACATTCTTCACTCCTCCAGGTCACACAGAAAGTAGAAGGGTTTCCGCTGTATTTCATCACAGGACAAACACCCTCCCGCAGCAGCCTCCTGCGTGCAAGATACGTGTGGGTACTTCTTTCCTACTTGGTTTCCTCTTTCTGAAAATATTGTTCCTGTCTGCTTTTTTAGCTAGCAGGGTAAACAAAAATCACCACTGTATCTTTGGAGTATGGGATGTATTTTTTAAAAATCCTTTCATATCCAGCTTCTGTCTGAAAACATATTATCTATTCAAAGTAGCCAAAACAAAGTTTTCTCTTATTTCAGTGTCTGCTAAAACTGATCCAAGGGGGTTTTCACCAGCTGAATATATTCCTCACTGTTTTTACGCTGCATGTCAATAAACCCTAGATGATGCTTTTTACAAAACACATTTTTAATCATGCATCATTTCAGTTGTGATTATAAAAAGACACATACAGGTTCCTAGAACAGCAGGACTGGACAGAGACTGCTGTGCACGATGCCACAAGAAAGATGAGACTTAGGTCTCATCAAGGCCAAGCCTCCCTGGAGACAAGCAAACCCACAATAAATACGTAATCCTGAGAAGTCCAGCTCCAGAATGTGTTACCGCCACAAAGGAACGCCCAGCAAGCTGTGAACTCCATCTTTATGCTCCCAGAAAAAGCAGGGAGGGGGTATATGGCTCAAAATGAGCAGGAACTCAGGCCATTGCTGGTGGTATAAAGCAACAGAAGTGCTTGGTCAGTCACTGCTGTGTTAGACAACATCCCTCTCGCCACAAGGGCCCACATCTCCGCTCTGCATCATGCTGTTTCTCACACACACACCACTGCAGTGATGAGCTGCAGTCGCTTTTAGTGAATCAAACATCTGACGACTCAGTATTTGCTAATAAAATTCAGTAACGTTAATGGATTGATCAGCATGACGTCCAAAAGCCATAGTGGTTTCACCTTGCAAAGGGCACTTCGAATTTCAGCAGTCCAGGGCAGGAAGCCCTTGAAAAAAGGTATTCTGAATTATTTTTAAATCAATTAGCTAAGTTCCTGCAGCTCAACATACCGGCATTGTCCTCAGACTGAGGAAGCCAACGTTTTGTGACTGGCCAGAGAGAGAAAAATGGCGAATGCACGGAGGTGATGAGAGAAGAGGAAATTGCAGGATACAAATTAATTTGACCTTCATCATTTCACAGCTTACGCTGGATTTTGTGCATGGTCGGAAAGAATTGTTTTGGCAAAGCAAGTTGTGGATTCCCACAGACCTGCTGGGAACCAAGAGCTGTCCTGGACAGGGCTGCGTGAGTCAATCTGGGCTGCCAGAGGAATAAATAGAAATAAAAATAATAATAAAATAAAAATAAAAATAATAAAATAAATACAAGACTA